AGTGGTTAAGGTCTGAACCAGGCTGGTGCCAAGTATAGCCTTCCCAAAAATGATAAACATTAATGACCAGATGCGGCCCAAACAAAATCACATTGCTTGTGGGCGCTCCCAAGATGGCGGGGCACCTTGTTGCTTCTTCATCAGCGGCTGCGTCAGACATGGCAGTCGGGAGTGTCTATATATATATATATATATCGATATTGGGGACGAGCGCTTGAGCAACATGTACTGCCCCACGGACGGGCACCGACGGCGCCCGACGGCGCGAATTTCCAAACCGAAAAATGGACCGTCTTCCAAGTTCAGCGGTTGCACCCCTCGAAGTACATATATATATATACTTCTCCCACCCGAGGGGCACAGGAATGTACAGGATGTGGACAGATCAGAATGTCATCTCTGATCCGAATCTTGATTCATGAATGTTCAAGCTGTCATAAAAATGATCATGTATTCGCCATGGTCACCAGAAGTGAACCGATTGCATCGCACATGTTTTTCCAGCAAAGTGCTGAGGAAGAGCCTGGGCGAGCTGCGTGCACAGCACAAGGATTGACATGATGTGGCTCTTGTCACCCTCCCAAAGACACTGAAGTATACTAACGTCTCACTAGGGGAACCCCAAGTTGGGGGGTTACTGTACCCGACTGTACCTGCTAAACACGGATCCCTCACTGTGCTTGTTTGATGCTTCAGCTGCAAGCTAGTACATCAACCAGTAACTTGATTTGAGAGGATCATCCCGCAGATTCTCAGATAGATAGACCACTTCCAAAGTACAAATCCGAACTGCAACGAGACAGAGAAGCTGGTTCGAATAAAGAAAATTGATTCACCCTATAAAATCATCCGCTATTCGGTTGGAGGCCATCGCTATTAAGTAATTGTGTTTCTTTATTGGAGGCAACCGCTGCTCCAACAACTCGTGGGTGAACATGGATAACTGTTTGTTTAAGAATTCAGTGTGCACATTGAACATCCAAACGAGGAATGCTGATTTGTTTTCGAAATGATTTGTGTTTGGCAAATTGGCGTTAGCTATGGTACCTGGTAGATGGTAAGCCAGACAAAAACATGAACTCTTCAGTAGCAAACTGTTTGGCTGGAGATTTGTCTAGCAGCGTCTAGCACTGAAACTCAAGTCGACCAAGCTTCCACAATTTTTGCCGAGCCGGGCTATGCACCTCACGGTGAATCGCTTCGCACACCACGTGAACTTCCTGATGGACACGTCGCACACCACGTGGAGCCCTTGAGGCCCTGGACGTGGACCCTGGACGTGTGACCGAAAGGACATTCATTAAACCTTGTTACTAGAAACTAGTAGCAAGAAATGGTACCAGTAGTAATGCCCTTGCGACGCTCGTAGCGATGCCCTTGTGACGTTCGTAGTTTCTTGCTTCTTCCCCATTCCTCTTCGTGCTCGACTCGTTCTTTTTCTCCCTCCGGGGTGGCCCGTCCTGTCCTTCGACTCGATCGCCTGTCCGACTCGACTCCCCAGGATCTACGGGAGCAACAGAGCAAGACCTCACAGGAGTTTTGGGCCCTGAACTGTCAGCCTTCACTTCTCAGCCCAAACACAGTGAGTGCACGGTGGAATTTCAGCATGGTCATGTAAGTGAAGGCTAGCCGCCAGTGAAGGTATGTAGACAGGTGGGGATTTGTGACATTTGAGTGGTTCAAAGTAGGTGAGGGCACTGAGGAGCATCGTACTGTTGGCACCCTGAGTTCATGACAAACCTCAACTCTTCATTCATCTTCATTCCATGCTCGTGCCATGAACGCGACCACGGCAAATAATTCGCAACAATGAACCGCTGCTTAACTTTGTAAGATTGCAGTTGTTACGTCCCAGCCGGGGATGTGCTTGGAAACTTGAAGTTGCCAAGATGATCACTCTTGTCGTCGTTGTTCCTCCTTCTGTTTGAACGCACTTGGTGTGCGGCGGTGTTTTGGTGTCAAGACGCAGGTCCTCAGATCCCCCCTTTGCTTCTTGGCGCTGACCTGCTGAAACAGCAATCCGTAGCGGCCGCTTTTGGGCCCTGAACAAGCAACGGAGCCATCGAAACATTTTTGCTGACAGAACATCTAGTCTTTGTTTGGAAGCAGAAGGTGTTGTACATCTTGGGCTGTCTTAAAGGTACAGAGACGGTCGATTGAGAACCAGCTTCCCTTGGGGAGGAGTGACGGTGAGTTCATGTGAGTGTGTGTGTGTGATTAGCGTGGAGCAACTGCAGCTTCATGAGCAGGTGAAGCAGCTACCATGCTAGAACTGCTGGGAGTGTTTGATCTTTTTTGATCACTCGAATGTCCTCAGCCAACCCACTTCGTCCGAAGCTCCAGCTCTGTTGTCCAATTTGTCAAGAAGATCACATGATCCTCATTACTGCTGAAATCTTCAGGACTGGTGTCGTCGAACTGTGCTCTGCAGAACCAGTTCTATGTTAATAAATAAACATAGCTTAGCACGATTGCGCCTTATTTATGGTTTATATGATTTTATACGTATTTCTAGATGGTGCACTCCAAGCAAGGCATTGCCCAAAGAGGCAGACATGCTTCTTCGGGTAAGCTGCCACAGTATCCGGACAATGGAGATGACTGACCAAAGGGGTCATCATGCGGATCAAGCATTTAGGCTTGTACAATTATTTTCATTATTTGGGCTGTTGAAGTCAAGGACAAAGATCCAGGGATTGTTCTTATACTCGTACCCAAGACTGGGTGACCATACTGGATGAGAGTCTGCCGTGCAGAGGAAGCATATTTGGGTGACTGGAGCACGGCCGTGCATCCCATTTTCTGACCGGAGCGGATCTGCCACCGACACATTCGCCCATCCGTCGACCTTTGTGCCCGGTCCGTACCAAATCGATGCGACCTTTGGGCGATGAAATGGTAGTGAACATTTTGCACATGTAATAGTCTATTGTATAGCGCTCTTTTCCAGTCTGGAAACCTGTTAGTGTATATATATATATATATACAATAGCCGTCCGAACATTGAAGCAGCTGGTGTGTGCCAAAGGGTTCGCACGAGGACTAGACTCATTTAAAAAGAGTTGAATAGACTCATGAGGCGTTGGTTCCGTTGGATAGACTTGATCAATCAAAGTTTCAGGAGTCAGTGATGTTCTGTCGGACTAGCCTGCCAACCCTTTGTTTAACGTTCAAAGGCTTTGGTGTTCAACAGTGTTTAGCCAGTGTTTTAGTTTTAGCTAAATCTATGATATCGCCCGGCAATTCCAAGGTTGACCAGGGTACAACTTCAACTACAGGAGAGGGAGGCCAAGTGCTTGGGGCTTGTCACCAGCGAGAACTTCTCCAACTTATAGCCTCACCAGAACTCCTAGCTCAAGTACCAAGATGTGGTAACGCCTTATATAGGAACACGACGGCCCCGTTCCGCTCACATTCTCGGTCCTAAAACGGGGTCGGCGGATATCTATCAGGGCATTGAGCCGTTTGAGTCAGCAACTTGAGTGACATGGTGATTGCAGGTGGAGCTGGATGGTCAGCTGAAGGAGAAGGCGCGCGTGGGATGATGGGAGCATGCCAAGTCCAACATGACTAGAAGCACAAGGCCTCCATGGTGTCATTTATTGGTCATATCTGCAACTCTTTGGAGGAAGCGAGGAAACCCGTCAAGGCGTTAACGCGTCATGGGTCAGTGTTGTGGACCTTGGACCCGCGAGGCCTTGCTTCTGAGGTTCAGATGGACCTATAAAGTAGGTACGACCTAATTATAAGCTCAGTTTTATATCATTTTATAGGTCGTCTCAGGTACGATGACATGTTTTATATTACTCGAAGTTGTATATGATGGGCAAGCGTTTGCCTGCATCCTGAACAAGAGAGCTGTGCTGAATGAACAACTCCTGCCTCGTACCGCATGATTTGGGAGTTGTCCATGTGTTTTTGAAACCCTTTGATGTTCACCAGGCCGCAAGTCAAGCCTTTAGTCCAATGGCAGGTGGTACTCCAGGTCTGACTAGTGTAATAGTGTGGTTTTTGCCAATTGCAAGGCGATACATTGACCACATGTTGTCCTGGTTTCCCACATGTTGATCGAATCCAGATGTCGTGACCGTCGAAAAACCGAAGGTTTTCGCGGAGCAACGATCGTTCTTCGGAGACAAGGATCGGTCGGAGCAACGAGATCGGTCTTCGATGAAGCGAGGCCTTGACCATTGATAAGCTCGAGGAGGACGTGACACAGCTGACCAGCCAGGTGTCACGCCGAAAAAGCACGCGGACGCGCACGCGCACGCGCTGCCGTTTTGCACTCCGATGGCGTGGGCAGCGATTTCGGGAGGAACCTCAAGCTCACAAAAGCTAGATGTAGATATCCACCGTTTCAAGCCAGAATATGTGTACCCATTAGTGCACGGCGCACAGGCTCACACTTCAAGGATTCCAGGATATATTTTAGGTCTCCCTCGGTCGAGGGAGTATCTTTGAGAGGTTGCTCAACTGCGGATTGTTCTGTTTCCCCAGCTCGGGCGAGCTCGGGTGTAGCCGTTCGACCTTTTCTTGTTCACAGGGTGCGGGATGGGGAGATCCATTCGGGTAGAAAACAACTTCTGATACTGAATTTTGCTCAGAATAAACCAAATTTGACTACCCAAGACTGAAGATGGTATTCTATCCGAGGAAGCTACCTACCTACATAGCCATACTTCTCAGGCTGCTCTAGGCACCCACAAAACTTTGTGGCCTAAATTTAGCCACCCCAGGACTGCCCACAAGACTCTTGATGGAGAAGTTCTTTTGTAGCGCCCACAAGACCAGGATCATGGGATTCATCCCAAGATCTGGATGTTGAAACCAATGATCCATCTTGGTGGGCCAGGTGAGGTGTTTCATGGTGTTTCTCTTGATCCATCTTGATTCCCAGCCATCCCAAGCAGCCGCCTCCCCATGGGCGCCCACCCCAGCAGCCCACGGGCGGCGGCGGCCACGGCTGCTGACGGCATGCGCAGGTCGCGGAGTTGGATGGCATGCGGGAACGGGCCGCACAGGCCGAGAAGATGTCCCTCGGCACCGCGGCGGGGCGGTCGAGTCGGGTCGGGAGAGGCTATCAGCTATAAGTGATTAAACGGCGGAGTGAGGTCTAAGGCGAGGTCTCATGTCTCCCAAGTCCAAGGCCTTGTGCTCCAGGATGTGAGTGAGGAAGCATCCTAGATCATCCTAGCATCAGCTAGCCGCATGGAACAGGATGATCGATTAGGAGCCCAGGAGGGGATATGATAGGAACGAACCAAGAGGGACCAACCTGCGACGAAGCACCGAGCCCAACGTCGCCCGTTTCAAGATCTGTTTGGACCGGACCAGACCGCGTTTCTCAGGGCGCCGACGTGCGCCGCCGTCTTGGAGTGGATCCTGGATCCTTTTGGTGACTCCACCAATCTCCACCATGAGTGACAAACCCAGTTGTATCCGGATCTCAGAATGACGACCAGTAGGGAAGATGCTGAGGCTGGAACCTTGGAAGAAGCGAACAGAAGAAGTTCAAGAAGCCTTTCAGAAGGCATGACCGCCTGAAACGACATTCTGAGTTTCTGAAAGTAGGCAAGTTGGGCCAAGCAAACGCAGATTCCACAGTTGCATGCCTCTAGTCTAGCCTGATGCTCCCAACGAGTGCGCTGTTTGCAGGAGCAAGCTCTTCGAAAGCGATATCACAACCAGATGCAGGTGAGCAATGGATGCGGGGGATGAAGGGAAACATGCTATGAATTTGGGGCAAGACCTGGAACAAAGTAGCAGAAACAATTGCGACGCAGGTTTGGGGTCTCATGATTCTAATGTAGCGCCAGACAGCAGGGTTGGGTGGTGTTTGTTCGGCGCAACACGGGACCACCGACCTCTTTGGAGGCTAGGCTTCCACGGACGGGTCATCTCGGGTGATGTCGAGCAGGACATGAAGGGCGCCGTCCGCGTTTTCGCACGCATCCGCCGGACACCTGAAGGGTGGAGGGGGAGGGGAGCTTCAAGTGAGGCGACTGGGAGAAGTGAGTATATACCATAAAGTACATGGAAAAGCAGGAAGGTTGAAATTGGTGGGGGACGAGAAATGCTTTAAGCTGCTTGGGGTATGATACTACGATCACTTCGTATCACTGCAACACCTTGGCCATGGTAACATCATCCATTAGTCGAATTGGGGCCAACCAAAAGAAACGGCCAAGGGCCCTGGCTGACGGTCTCCGTTTTGGTCTCTACAAAACCGAATCGAAAAACGCATGAGGGTTTGCATGTGCATTGCAACCGAAGCACCGAATCAGAGCAACCCGAAGGCTTTGCTTGCCTTGGTCGACTTCTGTGGGTTGGTCAACATGGATGTTGACGACACCGTCCACAAATGGACACGACAAAAAAAGCGCGTTTCAGCCAGGCAACGCCACTGACAAGTGGTTCAGTGTTAAGAGTGACGGTGCAGATTCTTGGCTCTTGCACCTTGCCTCTAGTCCTTCAGATTTGTATGACCCAGTGATTACAGCCAGCCTGTAAAATGAGAAGGCATTGGCAAAAGCTACCACGCCGCCTGAAAAGCGCAGTAGGCCACCGAATCGCCTCTCACGTGGAAACAGTTGGAAGATGTTGGAGACACCTTTTCGACTATAAACATTGAGATCCTTGGGAAGCACTCCTTTTTGGGATCCGGACCAGCCCCGAGTTCTCACGGGCATTCCTGTGTAGAATCTGGTTGGTTTAAAACGCCCGTTTTGAAGTGGTTTTGCGACCCAAATGAGGGGTCTTATGAATCAAGAGTCTACAGGTTGGAGGCCATCGCTAGGCCATCGCTAGTAGGTTGGAGGCCATTCCAATATATTACAATTACGTAGGAATTCCCATTGCTAGAGATTCTCCTTTCGAATCAACCCCTCCGTTCCTTTGTTGGTCCGGGCAGACGGCAAGGTCCGAAGGTGCCTCGCGAAGCCGATCAGGAGGTGGGAGAGGGCGGCGTGTCTGAGAGGTTGCTGCTGTGTGTGTGTGTGTGTTTGTGTGTGTGTCTTTTTTGAAATATCTTCTTTAGACTTAGACTTAAAACTAGTTCTTTCCAGGGAACTTCATCGGTGGGGAACCCCCGTTTCAGGTGGCGGTCTGGCGCCGGGATGCCTTCTCCTTGGAGTGCGCGGCGAAAGACAAGAAGTCCGGCCCGAAGGCCCGAAGGTCGGGACACGTGGAACATCTCCCGCCCCCATTGGTCGCCTTGCCAAGCAAGATGGTTTCAAGCAAGAGGCTTGGTCGCCTTGGTCGCCGTAGGTCGCCCGAAGCAGCTGGTTTGTGTTTTTTCAACGCTTCATGCAGCTGTTGGACGTGCCGGATGCCTAAGATGCACGTGAATTCAGGGTGAAAGTCAGGCCCCAATAGGTAGTAATAGGTCGTGGTCGAGCTGGCGAGCTGGGCATGTGGACATATGGCTGGAAATCGTACAGATATGGGCTTGCAGTCAATAAAAGATTAACATACAGCCCCCCAGAACTCCTGGCTCAAATGCCAAAGAGCATGTTTGGCAATGCGTTATCTAAATCACCAAGAGTGGTGTCTTGAGGGGTATGTACGTTCCTTTGCATGGTTGTGTCCATGCAAGCAAGGCTGAACTTCTAGTTTCATCCTCCAGATCTGATCTATGTGACTTTCGGGCTCTCCTTGTCAGCAGACATTTATACTACTGACTAGTAACTTAGGACTTGTCGAACATATATGGTGATTTCCCAAGGCCTATGTCATCAGGCTTGAACCAATATGGTCATTTTCTCAAGTCCTATGTCATCAGGCCACAACCATCACAATCCACGGAAAATGAGACGTTCAGTGAAGAGGCTTGTTTTTTAATGGTGGAGGCGTCCAAAGGTCCTATGACACCAGGTTTCCCCACCTAGACATCCTGTATTGCTCGATGTGTGAGCGCAGATGACCTAGCCCTGTGGGCAGCCGTGTGGGTATGTCACTTGGACCACATTTGCCTAAGTCACTAGACAGTAGTATATCTCGTTGAAGGGGATGACAAGCCCTCGAAGTCTCGATCCCGTCGAAGCGAAAGGCGCAGCGATTTCTGCAAAAGGCGTAGCGGTCGATTGGCGGTCAAGGGCCCTCGTAAGCCCAACAGCAAACGGAAAACATGGAAATGGATCAAATCTACCAATGTGCATTCGTGACATTGACACGGGAGGAAAGTCGTTTCTTCAGACCCATCTCAACCGAATCAAGTCGTGGAGAAAATTCAAAATGGCCCTTCGCGATCGTCAATCGCGGTGAGGATAGTAGGGACTGCAAAACAACCAAGCACCATGCTGCTTCTCAGGCAGCAAAACAAATTTGTTTCTCTCAGGGTCCAGCGTCAGCGGGGTTTGGATCTGCTTGTCCTGAACTTCATAGTCCAGAAATCTTTTCTGCAACCGCTTGATCTTGTCCAGGCTTTCGATCTCTTCTCTTTGCTTTTTCACTAGCATGTCCGTTTCGATCATGAACAGCAGCCGGTCGTTGTACAGGCGATTCCACAGTCGAATCTGGTCCGAGGTGCAGTTCACTGTGTCCTCAATGTCCAGGAGTTTCTTGTAGGTGCGACATCGAGTGTCGGTCCAATTCTCTTGGATGATCACTCCACGTAGCGCAGAATCAATCTGCGTGTTCTCATCATCACCAACGACTTCTCTCAAAATTCGCTTCCAGCGTCGTTGATGCACTTCATTTTCGACACTCTCCTTGATTTGGTTCCAGCGAATCCATTCAGCTTCATTGACTTCAGGGTCGTCGTTCACGGATGAACTTCCAGCGTCGCTGATTCTTTCATCCACTGCCAGCTCTTCTTCTCCAAGATCGCCATGGCGCGGCAGCGAGTCAATCTCAGGGACTTCGTCATACTGTGTGCTCTCATCCCTGACAATCAGGTCGTCATTTTCAGGCTCTGCTTCATTCTCAGGCTCCTCATGGATTTCAATCTCATTGCTTGCAGCGCGGGGGATCACACGCCTGAGCACGAACTGGCCAAAGGTGGTCACAAACACATAGACCTTGTAGGTCACAAACTGCAAACCAACAAACGAAAAAAATACCACCACCAACAAAGTCCACCACAGGCGTTCATCTCTGAAGCTCTTCTCCTCCAAGTCCAAGGGCATAGCTTGAACTCCAGCTTTGCTCAATGCATGCGTAGCCAACAAAGCCACGGACACTCTTGCAGTCTTCTCCCATAGGTCTTCACGTAGACCTCGTCGATGATAGTCTTTGTAGTAGTGTCTTCGACTGCAATATCGATGGTGTCCTTGGTCGGTTGTGAGCTTCTTGCCGCAACCTGGCAACTGACAGATCTCTTTGGGGATCTCTTCAACCTCCAGCACTTCGCCATCGAAGAGTCGGCAAGCGGCTTCATCTTGCTCTTTCTCTTCATCTGCTTTGACCTCCTTGGAGACCTTTTTGGCTGCCGTGAAGTTGGGGTCATACCGAAGTGCATGTACTCCTCGTCTGAGTATGTGAGCGAACTGGTCTTTTGCACTCGGCTTGGTTAGACCGTCTGCAACTTGCTGAGTGGAATTGACCCACTTCAGATAGCCCAACATGGCGTTGAGCCGCTCCTTCACGATGCAAACCTCGATGGCCGTCCTCTTCTCGGTCAAACGCAGACCAGCTGACACAGGGCGGGCTGAGTCAAACAAAGATTTTGCGTCCGTCAAAGCTGGGGTTTGTCCAAACATCCTCAAAGTGCTCTCCTCAGCGATCGGCACGGTGGGACAAACCATGGCTGCAGCATAGATCTTCGTCCACTCTGTCTCATCGATGGCACCAGCTGCAGACTGCGCTTCAGCAGACAGTGAAGAGCGACACATTCTCGTCAATTTCTTTGAGTGCCAGCTGACCAACGTCAAGGGAAATGGCTTGCCATCGGTCATCTCAGCCTCAGTTCCAACAAAGATGGCGTGACCACCTTGAGAAGCACCATCAGGCCGAATGCCCCAACTGGCGTCCATGTACACACCAAAACGTAGCTCGGCCAAAGAGGATCCATGACGTCGAAGAGTCATGCTGTAGCCTTGCACCACCTCCTTGGCAAACCTCAAAAGCTTGTTGGCGACATTGATGTCATTGACCGTTGGGGAGCTGGAGGAGGCCTGAAGCAAAGAAATTGAGGCTGACAGCTGAGGAAGGCACTGGCCAGCAGGCCAAGCCAAAGCTCCGATCAAAGCTCTGAGCATCTTCACTTCCTTCTCTTCGAGCGGGGCATCACTCATGGTCTTTCGGCTCTTGTCAAGAGTGATGGGCTTGATCTTGTGGACGTATTCTTTGAGCGACAAAGTGATCACGTCATTGTTCAGGCTCTGTTCGATGGAGGTGCCACAAAAAAGAATGTTTGAATTCCTTCCGAAGTCCCAGGAGCCGAATCGGAACTTCTTTGAGAGCATTTGCAACCTCTTCTTGAAGCACCATTCAAAGTTTTCCTCCTCCGTCAAGTTGGCTCCGGTTGCATCTTCAACGGAATTCACTCCTTCTCCGCAGCCTAGGAAATCATCAACATGAAGTCCCAAAATACCATCGACAATGCTGGGCACACCATCATGTGTAAACACCTGAAACATCACTGTACGCCCTTCTCACACTCAAGAAAACGCAGCTGTCCAGAGGATGCACCAAAAACTTGGCTTCTTCCAGCAAAAACTCTCGAGCTGATTCGTACCATTGACGAGGGGCACGAACATCGTTTCAGGCCCATCAAGCGTTCCAGTCGTCTCCTCATCTCTGCAGTTGGCCTGATGAAAATGCGGGTCTGCTCATCTATTGATTTGGACTGCATGAAGGCGCTCTTGACATCGGCTGCAAACACTTTCCAGCTGAATTGACATGCCCAAATCAAAATCAACATACGACCTGTCCTGCTCAAAGTCGGTGACTCACGATCCAGCTCTTCAGTCAGCACATCTTTATGGCGGAAGCCCTGGATGATGACTCTGGCATTTGCCACTTTTCCAGTTTTGGTGGGCTTCCATCTCTGGAGAAATCGTGCTGGAATGACTTCACCTTCACGAGCTTCGGATTCGTTTACAGCTTTCCAGGCAGCATTGTCCAGCCACACCTGTAAGGCCTTGTCTTTGGCCAAGTCGAACTCCTTCTTCTCTTCGGCACTTAGCTTCTTCTCATTGAAGGTGTCGGCCATCAGCTCTTCGTCTTCCTCCATGGGTTGACTGCTTTGCCACAGCCGTTGAAAACCAGGGTCATCTTCTGTCACCGGACCCATGCCATCTAGCTGACGTGCCATGTTGTAAGATCTGAAAGCGTGCCTTCTCATCTCTCATAGGTGGGCTCCTCGATCTTTCTCTGCTTTGCTTCACCTCAGGCTCTGGTGAGATCTCTTTTGACTCTTCGGCTTCCTGCTTTGCTTCCGGCATGCTTTGATCACCTTCTTCAGGTATGCTAGGAATCGGCTCCTCAATCATCAGGTCATTCAGTTTGGCTTCCTTCTCGTCATTGGGTTCCTCAAGGTTGTCAGCCGTATTGTTATCAGCCGTTGGTGCCATAGCAGGAGAAGGTGGTTGTTGTTCAGGCTGAGCACTCGAAGCATTCGCGAAAGAGGTACCCCCAGAGGAAGATGAAATTTCAGCAGGAGCGAGATCCAAAAAACGTACTGGACCGCGAACGGGTTGGAGGACCTGACGAATGGTGTCCTGCACAGGGCGATCCAAAGCGGTCTCTGGAAAATGCTCCAAACGGGCAAGTCTCTCGCGAGGAAGCTCAGGTCGAACGTGTTCGGGCGCAACACGAACCAGTGAAGAGCCATGGGCTACCCAATAGACACTTGGTCGACAGGCACCTGAATCGGTCACACGAGGCTCAATCATGCACAGGATGGCCGGTCCACGCCAGCGGGAAGGTTCGAGCTTTTGATCTCCTTGTCTCCAGTAGAAGACCCATGAGCCGAGAGACAAAGGTTCATGTTCGGCACGAGGTCGAGCAAGGAGCGAGCGACGAAGCAAAGCATCATGATTGGCTGAATGGAAAGCCTTGGCAGCAGCAACTCTCATGGTGACATTCTCTTGCACAGCCACAGGAAGTTCTGGGCGTAGATCTTGTGGTTCATCAAGTAGGCCTGACACAGCATTAGGAGCGCGACCAAAGACCATCTCGGCCGGTGAAGAGCCGTGTACAGTTCTCAAACGATTTCTTTGGTCACAGGCCACACGGATAGCGGTGTCGAGCTTGATGTCAGGCATTTCTTTCCTCATCTTGAGAAGTTGCAATCTGCGAACTGCATGAAGGCGTTCAATGGTTCCCAGGCGATAGTGTGCCTCCTTTGGAATCAAAACAAGTTTGATCTTGTAGCCGTCCATGGCATCGATGAA